TACATATATACCTTGTGAGATTTGACCCACATTCGTTCTTGTGAGACATTGGTCGGAGTACTTGTCAATTAGAATTCGCCTTGAGTCTACCTTGAAATAAATTGTTTGGATTTGTGAACGTGAACATGATTGAGGCATTCCTTGTATATTCTTTCCCTTTTTTTTTTCTGATAATAACATTCACTAGTCACCCCCTTTGAGCCTAATTCAATTTTTATTGATAACCTTGTGACGATAACATTGTAGGTTGAGAATTGGAAATGACCGTTGAGTGAAGTTGTGAATATTTTTATTTGATACCTATTTAAAAAAAAAAAAAAAAACAAAGAGAGAAAAAGGAGAAACCGAATGGATTATATAAAATATCCAAAAGGTTCTCACAACAAAAAAAAAGGGACCGAATGGATTATATAATAGGTCCACAAGGTTCTTATTATTAAAAAAAAAAAATAATATGTTTGGGAAGGGAGATGGTTTTTGGAGTTAGTGGGAGGAACCGGTTGGTGTTGATAACCGGAAGAATTCATAATTAGGGTTATGTGATGAGTTGAGTTGATCTATATTGAGCCACTTAGCCTATATTTATCCTACCCGATCCAAAGAGCCTACTTTACAGCCCTCTAAGTCCTCTTGATTCACTGTTTCATGAATTTGGTTGTTTAGAGTAAAGGTTAGACAATAGGCAAATTTATGATTGATTTGACTGATGACCAATTTGAGTGAACCTGTCTTTTTATTATGGAAGAAAACTGAGTGAGGCACATATATCATATCTCCGTATTCGAGAGTCTGTGTTGTCAAGTGACTGAGCTAATTGTCGAGGTGTGTTCTTGTGGGCATCGAAATTCTTTCCAACTTAGTTGATCAATTTGAGACTTTTCTTGCTTTGAAGCCATTGTACCTGCTCGTTTGCGTGTTTTTCTTTTTCTTTTCTTTTTGTTCGGGACGAACAAAGGTCTTAGTGTGGAGGAGTTGTTTGTCCCATTTTTGTTATCTTTTTCTTTAGTTATTTTTAGTTTTTACCCTTGTTTTTAGAGTCTCTTTAGTTCTTTGGTCCACCAGTCGTTCCTTTCGTGTGTTTGCCGTTTATTTCTCGTTTTAGATATTTTCTGCTCTTTTGTCTGTTTTCGTGTGTTTTTCTTTCGTTTTTTGTGGTGTGTAGGTTCAGGTTCTTCATCATGTTTGGAGCTAGTCAAATGATCGAGTAACCGGCCTTCAAGTCAAATTAGCCCAAGTATCAGAAATCAGCCGGAATATCAGTTCTTCACGCTGCCGCGCCGCGGTGAAGCCAATTGCCGCGCCATGTTCCTGCCCCGCTCCGCAACCTCGCGCCGCAAAGAAGTCCCGCCTCGCGTCGCGGAGAGGTCCCGCCTCGCGCTGCGGTGAAGCCTCGCGTTGCGGAGAGGTCCCGCCTCGCGCCGCGGTGCCTGATATTTAAAATCCGTAACTGATCGCGTTTATGAAGTGGGGAGTAGGGTTTATTATTCCTTCTTCAGACTTCATTTTTTTGGTTCGTACTTTATCGTTCTGAGACTATTTTTCATACCGGGTGACATTAGAACATTTTCTCTTCAATTTTCACTTTGGATTCATTGGATTTTTAGCTTGGAATTGAGTTTTGGAGATTGTGGCACTCCGAAACAAACACGGTTTGGCTTGTATTTTGATTTCGTTCTTGACGTAGATTATTCGTGATTTTCTTTCATTTGATTATGGATGTGAATTATCATTTTGAATCTGTTGTTGAGATTGATATTAATATGTGTGGCTAAATCATCCGGCTAGGGGAAGGAGATATTTGTTGTGGTTCGATTGGGCTTAATGTGTTGTTTGTCGTTCAATCTATTCGAGTTGTGCTCATTCTAGGGTTAGATTCTTGATCAACATCATAATCTAATTAAGCGATTTGTAGAACCGGAAGGGGAGAAATTGATTGATCTTAGCTCGTTTAGAATAGGCTTGTTTGTTAATGTATTGCCTATGTGTTAAGTGTTTCAATAATCGACTTGTTCATGTTTGTTCTCTTGTTATGAGATGTTATTGAGAATAAACCTCTAAACAAGTAAGTTATTTGGTCCCTTAACTGAGCGGCTGTATGCTCATTGATTGCTTGAGAAGCATAAACGAATATCTCCGACTCTCTAACCCTCGCACCATCATTTGAACCTCGTTGGAATTTGAAGCTTGTTTGCTATATTTTATAATTAGTAGTCATTAATTAAAAACACAACCAATTGAATTAGAGTGTTTAGGATTTAATTTCTTTTTCGTGTGATTGAATATTCGTACAAATAATCCAGCTGACCTTCCTTGAGATACGACCCGGGGATTGAATCTTTTGGTTTAACTCCAGTAAAAATAACTACAACAAAACATGTTATCTTTTGAATTTGAACATGATATTTAATATATGAAGTCCTTTTTTCATGTTATATAAGTGGTGTAAATGTAAAGTTAACTGTTCCATAATTCCATTATGTGTAAATGTAAAGTTATCTTTTGAATTTGAGTCATTGGTGTGTCGTCCATTATGTGTATGTTTCCATATTTGGTTCGAGTCAAGTCAACTGTTCCATAATTCCACGAGAACCTTCCACGAGCCGCTTTAGTCGACGGATTCGACTAAGTTTGTGTGTTCATCGGACTAGTATTAATCGAGAGTTATCTTGATTTTGTGTAGGTGTCCCGAGGTGTTGACCTCAAATCCTACCGTTCGAATCATATATTGTGAAATTTATCGCTGCTACCAGGTGGGTTCAATTATGTTGAATCTATATTTATCGCACTTGTTATTTTGTATAAATGTTTGTGTCAATAGCTTTTGTATGCGTGAGAACCCAAGTCTAAGTGTCCCGTCGATAGTGCCTTTGACGAATGCATAATCAGTGAGAGGTCGCCTGCCCGTTGCATCCGGGAGGGACGCCCCATGCCGTTGTATCCGGAAGGAAAAAAACAGCTCCACTGTCTCCTGGATAAGATCCTACACCCGTTCCATCCGGGGTGGGAATGCTTCCGGTTACATCCTTGCCGATGTCAATAGGGCTTAATAGGGAGTTAGATCTGGATTCTATGCATACATTATTTATAGTTATGAATCTTTATGCGAGATATACTGTGCGGTAAGGTGAGTATGATGGTGATACTCACCCCCATTACTTTTCTGTCCTCTTATTCCTCTTCATATCCTTAGGTTGAGCATGGTTGGCGACGGCAGCGAGAGACGATCAAGTGGTGGTCGTTGAATTAATGTGTCTTTGCTTCCGCTTTTATTATCTTGTTTTTATTTTGGATGATTATGCTTCCGCTTTGATTTTATAAACATGTTGGAGGAACCGTTGAATCATGTTGAACTATCTGGTTGATTTTGGTGACTTATGAATTAGTTGATTTGATTTTTATAACTGTTAGTTTATGCATGTGCAGGTTCTACATATTTGTTCTTATATGTTTAATTGTTGCCGGTAATTAAGTAGCGCCCTTTGACTATTAAAGTTTTAAGTTGGGATTTTGCGAAAAATTAACTCTGATTTTTATAAATAAACTCGGTAAATTCTTTAAAATAAAACGGGGCGTTACAAGTACTTTGGATTAACTGAACTAGAATTCAAATTATCCCAGTGTAAATTCAATATGACTAAAGAAAATTTCGTTGCCCTAATTTTTCTCTCATTGCCCATTCTCTCTTCGTCGCCGCAGATCTTTCATTTCCCTTCCGCTTTGCCATCCTCGGCGTAAATTGAGCTTGAGCCAGCGGTTGGCTCTCGACAGCCTGGATCCCGCTCACGTTTCGCACCTATCTCGTCAATTGCGATGGAGAATGCTTTTGACCGTCATGGATGGCCTCGTTTTTCGGCGCCGGTTCGTGAGCCCAGGTCGACGGTTTCTCAGTGTCGCGGTGGATGTTGTCGGGGTGCGGTTCTATAGGCAGGGCGTGGTTCGGTCGTTTGGCGGCCGGTGCTTCGCAGCAGCTTTCTGTCTTCTCCTCCATGTACTCTGGTGTTGGGTCAGGGAGGTCTGTTGCCTTCGACTTCCGGCTAGTGGTGTTAGCCGGTGTGGAGCATCGGGGTGTAGAGGGTTGTCGACAGCTTTTAGGTGATTTGCAGGTCGTGGTTGTAGCCACGACACCTGCTTGCTCTGTTTCTCCTGTTACGTCTTGCTCGGGTGCTGCCGAACTTGCTAGTGGTGTTAGTGGGTTCGGTTCAGAAGCGGTTCATGGGCATAATGGGTGTTGTGGCCATGGTGCGAGTAGGCTTTGGGTGTTGTTTTGGGGCTTAAATTTCACCTCCGTTAGGCAACCGAGTTGGTTTTAGGCAGTTTCGGGGTTGGTACTCTTTGGTTATGGGATTCACTTTGGGTCGACTTGGTATTGGCTGACTCTGCTTGGTCTATCTGCTTGGTAAGGGCTCGTTTGGCTCTCCTTGGTATTAGTTGGCTCTGCTTGTTCTATCTGCTTGGCAAGGGCTCGTTTTGCTTCGTTTTGTTTCATGTAGTGTTTTGTTATGTTTTGTTTAAGTTTGTTCTGTAGGTCTTCGCGTTTTTGGTTTGGGCTTTAGGTCTCTGTTTTCGCCTGAGTGAGAGCGGTATTATCATTTTGGGATCGATTCTTACTTGGACATTATTCTTTTGGGATCGATTAGTCTCTTGTTTGGGAGTTAGTAATAGTTTTTGTTTTGTAGTATTGTATTTGTGTTTTCTAGCGTTGCTAGATCCGACTCTAAGCAATCTTCGAATCTGCCTCTCAGTCTACTCAACCGTTAGTTGTATCATTCAGTCTTTCACTAGTTTTCTTTTAGCACTCTATAACCCCTCCGAAAAAAAAATAAAATAAATTCAATATGACTACTATTTTAACCTAAGGCTCATAATCCTAGAAAATCAACATAATAAAGTAAATTAATACACAATCCACGTGTCAACGCACGATCGGTGGAAACATGATGGCCTAATACCACATTCCGTATATATTCGCACCCCCATTTTCCTGTCCAATTTCATTATCACTACACACAAACACGCACATAATAAATTTTTTTCTCCGGCCACCGCAACAGGCGGAGCAAGAATAAAATATCTAACTTAGCAACAAGTCGATTGCTGGCGGCATTTGATCATACTCAGGTCCCAGATGGAAGTCGGCCAGAAAATTGTCCACGGGGAGGAGCTTGGCCTGAAAACCGAACTCTGCCTAGGCCTGCCAGGTGGCGGAGTAGACGAGACGACGGTCAAGATGGCGGCTAATCTGAAGAGAGGGTTCTCGGAGACCGTCGATTTGAAGCTCAAGCTTCATCGCGATTCAGATGAACCTTCGTTAGCTGCTGATTCCGACCCAAAAGAAGACGGTGCTAATATGAAAAGTTGTTCAAAAGAGAATAATAATAATAACAAAGCTATGGTTATGAAACCACCTGCCAAGTGAGTTTATTATAATATTTCTTATAATTTTCTTTAACTTCTTGCTTTTCATTCATGGCTTTTACTTTGTGCATGTTATAACAATTAACATCTAGCTAGCTAACAAAGCTGCCATTTCTTTGACATATGTTGTTTATGTTATTATAACATATGTAATCCAAATTAATTCCAACACATAATATGTGGTGAACAATATGTAGACTTTATTTATACGGTAATTCAAAACCTTCTTTTATTAAAATAAACCAACAGTTTGATGTAAAAATTGAAAAATCAAGCCTATGATAAAACTTTGGTTAGGGCACAAGTGGTTGGGTGGCCACCTGTCCGTTCTTTCCGGAAGAACATAATAGCTGATCATCAAAAGAGCAACAACACTAACTCAGCTCCTGAAAAAGCTGCCGCGTTTGTGAAGGTGTCAATGGACGGCGCCCCTTTTCTCCGTAAAGTCGACCTGAAAATGTACGAGTCTTATCAACAACTATCGGATGCCTTAGCCAAAATGTTCAGCTCCTTCACAATGGGTAAGTAAAAAAAAAAAAAAAATAAGATATGTTTCTATAAAATTATTAATGTGTAATGAATCTTGATTTATTTATTAGTTGTTGTTAAAAAAAAAAAAATTTGACAGGAAATTATGGTACACAAGGGATGATAGATTTCATGAACGAAAGCAAATTAATGGATCTTTTGAACAGTTCAGAATATGTGCCCACTTATGAAGATAAGGATGGGGACTGGATGCTCNATTTCTACTTATAATTTTGACATTTGTGCACAACAAAACTATTGTAGGATGTTTGTGGATTCCTGCAAGCGCGTCCGAATCATGAAGGGATCTGAAGCAATTGGACTTGGTGCGTTATTTTCCATGAAAATTTATGATACCTTTGTTTTCTTCTTCTCAACAAGATTATGGTTTGAAATTGGATATAAGCTTTGATTAATTTATTTTCTGACAAATTATAATTGGGTTCTTTTTACGTAGCAACAAGATAATAGTTTGAAATTCTGTATATGTTCTGATTAATTAATTTATTATTCTAAGAAAATTGTCTTTGTTTTTGGTCAAAATATACAGCACCACGAGCCATGGAGAAATGCAAGAACAGATGCTAATTACGAACTTCTCGTGCCAGCATATGTTGTTTTTTTCGATTATTATTGTTTTTTCTTCTTCCGGGTTTTGTGAGGACGTGTCTCTATATCTTATGGTAGTTTACAGATCTGTGGAGACAAACTTGTATTAGACTATATGCAAATGCTCTCATATTTTGTATGGCTTTGTTGTGTATTACTAATTTTGGGTTTGGCTCTGATTAAGCTATAATGATTAAACCATGTTTTGTTGTCCTCTTGTTGATCTTAGTTGGCACGGTTGTGTATTTATTTTTTCCTTCGCCAAATTGTGTACCAAAATGGTTTGTTTATATTTGTTTGCCAGATTCTTCATATCTTGTAATCCGAGTATTCAATTTCTTTATTCCTTGTGAATTATTATTGCATGATTAGTTCTTGTAGTCCCCCAACAAGAGTACTTGCAGGGAACATAACCATGTGCGTGTTCGTGGTATGAATCTTTGCATTGCATAACTAATTCATTAGTTTATTTTCTGGTAATAGATAATGGTAGAATAATATACAATTATAGTGTTCAATTATAATTGATATCACTTACACTTGCCAGATTTATATTGATAAGTTAAGGACTCGAGAGGGTGATTTCTATTGAAAGCTAGAGTTGTGAGCTTAAGCTTAATGATGTTGGTTTGAGCAAATAACGTCGATTATTGTTCTCTAATTGAACCCAAAGAAATTAAGCGCAACAGATTTAATGTTTAGGATCAAGATCTTACGGTTTTGTGTAAGCCGATCTTGGGACGACTTACACGGTCTACGAGGCCAGCCAAACGATTCTTACTTTCCTGCGTCCCGTAGATGCCAGTGACCTTAATGTCTTGTGTTTTATTCCATCACCTCGGTTGGGCGTCGTGTGGGCGACTACCTCCTAAACTCATGTGCTGGCGCTCCTTCCTCTTGCTCTGACTCGCGCGCCTAGCCCTATATTTATTGGGGTTGGGCGTGTGAGATATGTGATCTCTAGAAAAAGAATGACACCCCCACATGATTTATTTTTAGGCTACACATGGAACATAAGGAGGTTAGGAATAGGTCTCCCAATGGGCCAAGAAATTATAGACTGTGGACCATTTTATTTCTTGGGCTATTAATATAAAATTTCAATAAAGATTTATTATTGTACTACCTTTTCCTCACCTCAATTACATGGAATCTACTATCCTCGATTTATCTATTCTTATTTAAGATATAACGCCTGTTTATTAATTTAATTACAAATAATTTAATTAATTAAATTCTTGGTATTTTTTAGACTAGTACTACTCAATCCTTACTGTCATGACGAAACTCAATTTGTGTGCATAGCTTGACGTAATAATCCTTTTGAGCTCATCTCGAGAACATCATCAATATGGCGCACAAGGACACAATGAATAAGTATAAAAATAAGTTCAAACAAAGCAATGCTTCAGTATACAAATCATCAATCTCCCATTTATGCTCAAAGCTATTGCTTTCTAAATATCGACCTATCTATCTAACCCATCCATACATAAAGACTTTGTTGCTCTAAACATCCATACATCTGACTCACATTCTTTTTACATGCTTCTTGTAAGCTTTCGCCGGAAGAGCCATAGTAAAAAGGTCTGTTAGGTTCCCCGCAGAAGCAAGCTTAGCTACAACGACGTCCCCTCATCCCAGATTTGTATAAAGTGGTTGTGCAAGAGGAAGAGAGAGTGCAGAGAGATCGGGTTGAAAGTGCTCACTTGGCCTCGAATACTCAAAGCAAGAAAAGAAAAGGGATCTAAGGTCACTGCAGTTGCTACTGCTTCTATTAAATGTGTGTGTTTTTAGAGTGTGTTTGTGGTGTAACTATAAGCAGAGCTTTATGTGTTTACTTACCTCATGAGCTTATGGTTTGCTAATATCACAATAAATAGTGATAGACATGGGCAAACTCATAATCACATCGAAGTCTACAAGAAGTTCCGGAGCTATACCGCTTCCTTTGCTGCCTCAGAGGTTGCAATGTATTCGGTTTCCATGATGAAGTCCGCCACACATTTATGATTGACACTTCACCAAAATATGGTTGTACCTCACAACTAAACACATAACATGAGGTAGATTTACTTTCATCCAGATTTGACTGAAAATTGGAATTTTTATATCACACAGGCTCCAAAACGCTTGCCTTGTATACTAGCATATAATTCGTAGTCCTTCTCAGTTACTTGGTTATATTATTCACCACAGACCAATGTTTCTGTCCAAGGCTACCCTGATATCTGCTAACCATTCCTACGACAAAGCAGATATCGACCCCATACATAGCATTGCATACATGAGGCTTCTTACAGCTGATGCGTAAGGAACCACCTTCATGTCCTCTATCTTTTGTTGTGTCTTTGGACACATATCATTAGATAGAGTAATTCCATATCGGAAAATAAGATCTTCTCTGTTAGAATTCTACATGCTAAAAAGTGCCAATGCAATATCTATGTATGAAGCTTGGGATAAGCAGAGCATCATTTTCTAGCGATCCTTTATTACTTTGATCTTAAGAGTAAGCGCTTCTTCTCTTAAGTCTTTCATATAAAACTGTCTGGATAATCATACCTTTACATTCGAAAAAACCTTCTTAATATTACCAATGAGAAGTATGTCATCTTACGTACAATACAAGAAATAGCACCAAGTTTATGTCGCACTTCTTGTACATGCATTTCTCATCCGAACTCTGAGTTAATCCATATCATCAAATAGGATATTACCGGACCTAGATGCTTGCTTTAGTCCATAAATGGACTTCTTTTTCTTACAAACCAGGTTCTCTTGGCCTTTCACAACAAAACCCTCAGGTTGCCTCATAAAGATGTTTTCCCCAAGACATCCGTTAGAAAAGATATCTTGACATCCACATGTCATACCTCATAATCCATATGATCAGCAATGACCAGATTAATTCGGATAGACTTAAACATTGCTATTGGGGAAAAGGTCTCCTCATAATCGGTTCCCTCTTTCTGATTATACACTTTCACAATAAGTCTCACCTTAAAGGTTTTCACCTCACCGTTTGAACCTCTTTTCTGCTTGTAAACCATTTACACTTATTAATGGATTTTATATCGGTTGGTGAAATCTGCAAGTTTTCAGACCTTATTCGAGTCAATTGTCTCGATTACAAATTTTATTGCTAATTTCCAAATATGTATCCTTGTCATGGAATTCCTCGTAATACGTCCAGGGATCCACTGGGAACAAGTCCGAATACCTGAGAACATGAATCTATAGGGTTAACGAACAACCCTCCCACTGCAACGGGGTACTATCAGCAAAGTTGTTACTTGTTGTCATAATGTGCATATTCTTGCGGTATATCATCTTATACAGCTGATATAAGAACTATTATCTTATATTTCTTCTAGAATTGTTCTTTTTGTGGGCTTGTGTCTCATTACATAATCTTTCTCCAAAAATCGGACATTTGTGCTAACGATGAACTTCTGATCTTTAGGACTATAAAATAAGTTACCTCTCGTTCCATGATATTCTATAAATACCCTACTTTTTTACGACGTTCTAACTTGTCAGCACCTGCCTGAAGCACATGTAATAGACTACCCCATATCCAAACATGACTCAAGCTGCGCTTTTGCCCCATCTAACATTCTTAGGGAGTAGTAGGCATTGACTTAGATGGTACCAAGTTTTGAATGTATGTCAGTGTTTGCACTGTATAACCCTAGAAAGAATTTGGTAGTTCTCAATAACTTATCATCGACCATTTCCATAAGTCATGTTCCCCCGTTCTACCACACTGTTCTGTTGGGGTGTGCCAGGTGTGGTCAACTGGGATTGAATCCATGCCTCTGATAAGTAACGCCTAAAATCTCCCAAGAGATATTCACCACCTCGATCAGTTCGAAGTGACTTGATACTTTTATCATAATGGTTCTTCACACTGGCTTTGTACTTCTTTAATTTTTTAAAACACTCAACCTTGCGGCGCCTAAGGTAAATGTTCCCAAATCTCCAGTGATCGTGTATGAATGTAACAAAATACTCAAAACCACCTCCAGCATGGATCGAAATCTGACTGTACAAATCAGAACCGAACACATCTTTAGCCCTATACCTTTTTGGTTTAAAAGCTCGCTTTGTTATTTTACCTTCCAAGCAGGATTCACTGGTTGGATAATTTTCCATATGTTATGTTCTATGGGGAACGTCATCGATATGCAAATCCGAATATAATGAATTAAATCCTAACGCAGCGTAATCTATAGTTAGGATAAGGACTTACAGTTTAAAAATTGTGTCGACTCTGGGATGTTGCAGATTTTCTCTATAGGAGATTGTCAGAAACGCAGAGTCCGTTGAGTAGCCGGACTTGGCCATTTCGGTTGATCACCGGTCGTCGGGAATTAGTAGGAAGCTGGTCGAGTCGTCGGTCGGGTCGCGAGGGTTACAACGTTGGATTGCTGGTAGTTATCGAGCTCTGCAGGGGTTGCACGGGTCTCTGTGCATCGGGCGCTGTCCCCGTGCGTGCGCATCGGGCACTATCCGGGTCGCGTGGGTTTCGCGGGCTAAGCGTATCAGGCACTATCCAGGTTGCATGGGTTTCGCGGGCTAAGCACGTCAAGCGCGGGATCGTCGGACGGGATCACTGGGTCTGCACGTCTAGAAGCGAGCAGGTCGCGGCATCGGGCTCGCTGGTTTTCCGCTAGCTGCGAACGTCATTGGGCGCTACACAGGCGCCATCGCAGCTGGGACTGGACATCGGTTTAGGGATTTCGTGTGGTGGTTGGACGGTCGTCGGGAGTGATTTTCAGTGGCTGATGGTTGCTGGGAAATTTATCCGTAATAATTGATTCACTGGGGTGGGAAAATTATACCTTATGATCTTTTGATGTATTACCTCTACATCTAGGGAAATGCTCCCCTACCCATAGTGGTCACAAATTAATTTGCCCACAACTTATGTGGCATGTATGGGTTTGTCAGAGAAAATAATGTTTGGTGATGTGTACATGCCACATAAGTGGTGGACAAATTAATTTGTGTCCACTGTGGGTAGGGGAGCATTTTCCCCTACATCTACTTCTAATAGTCTTGGTGGTGCGACTAAACGAAACTCCCAAAATCTCTTCAAGACTAAAAATCAGATGACATGTGTAAAGGAGGTGTTGGGATTTGGTGTATTTATAGGCTACAACAGGGACCCTATTGAGGTGCTAAATATGGGCTTTTCCAAATAGGTTTAGGAATTCTTATGTCTTTCAACTTATTAACCTTCTAGAAGTCCTAATGTCTATCGACTTAGTTACCTTCTAGAAGAGTTTTATCTCTTCCAACTTGGTAACATTCTAGAAGACATTAAATCCTTCTACATGTTAATATTTTAGAAGACTTTTAATTCCTATTCCTAGTTTGAATAAATAATAAAATATTTCACTAAAGTAATATTATTGATATCCCAATTTAGCTCCAAATTATATAATAGTTCGGCCCTCACATAATTAATTTAATTGATCGAATTAACTCCCAATGTTTAAGATATAACATCCATTTATTAATTTAATTATTGAAAATGAAATTAATTAATTTCTTTTAATACAAAATTAATACCACTCAATTCTTAATTATTAAGTAGGAAATTAGTCCGCCTGCAGGGCTTAACATAATAAATCCTTCCTGAGCTTATTTCGGGGATGTCATGAACCCAACTAACCAGGACATAATGATCGTAAACAATTTCAATGCCACATCTAAACAACATTATTTACCTAAATATAGAGTATGTTATCCTAATTAAAATAGGAATCACCTTTGGTAAACCAAATAAATAAGTATACATATGCCATTTTATTGTCTTACGGGTTAAGAGAACGCATCAATTAGTGAGGTCCAGATTACTTACTTGGTCAGTATAAAATAATCTTATTCTCCGTTGGTCCATTCAATACACCAAAAGTGTACTAGTGTAATTCATCAGTCAAAGATCAACTGAATCAAAATTACACTACAACCTTTCACAACAGATAGTTCAATTCCGTCTAGGTTGTGAATCATTTATTTATATTTTACAAGTAACCGATAATGTGATCTTTCTGTTTGACACATCGAACCATATTATCTATAATGTAAATAAAGGAACTTATGCTTGCATAAATAAATAAACGGCAAACATAAATACTTGACTAAAACATAATTCTCATTCAAAATGATATTGTCAGAAACTGAAAGCTGAGCTTTTACAGTATACCCTAACAATCTCCCACTTATACTCTATAATCTTTCGGCAATTATTAAGTATATCTTCTTTCAATATAATTCACAAAGACTAATCTAACTAGAAGTCATACGCCTGACTCTCATTCCTTCTATGTGTCGGTCAAAGACCTTCACAGGTAGGCTCTTCGTAAAAAGATCTGCTAGGTTGTCCTCTGATGCTATCTTGGCAACAATGACTTCCCTTCGTCTAACTATATCTCGTATCAGGTGGTACTTGCGCTCTATGTGTTTACTCGCCCTATGTGTTCGTGATGCTTTTGAGTTTGGTACTACCCCACTGTTATCATAGAGAACTGTGATTACAGCGGGCAAACTCGGTACCACGTTAAGGTCTAACAGGATGTTCTAGAGCCACATCGCTTCTTTCGTTGCCAATAAGGCCGCGACGTACTCGGCTTCCATGGTGGAGTCTTTCATGCATTTCTTCTTGACACTCCTCCAAACTATGGCTCCACCTCCCAGAGTAAACACAAACCCTGAGGTGGATTTATTTTCATTCCGGTCTGACTGGAAATCAGAATCAATGTAACCCATTGGGAGCAACTCGTCTGTTCGGTAAACTAACATGTACTCCTAAGTCTTTTTCAGGTACTTGGGTATATGCTTTACTACAATCCAATGCTTCAGCCCTGAATTACTTTGATATCTAGCTACTATGCCTACGGTATAATACATATCTGGCCACATGCACAACATCGCATGCATAAGGTTTCCTACTGCCGATGCATAAGGAACTGCCTTCATGTCCTCTATCTCCTGAGGTGTCATGGGAGGTCCTCTTAGACAGCGGGATTCCATACAAAAAGGGAAATTTCCCTCTCTTGGAATACTACCTGTTGAAACACGTCAAGACAATATCTTTGTACGAGAATTGAGATAAGCACAGCATTCTCTTCTCACGGTTTCGAATGACCTTGATCTTGAGAATGTGTCCTTCTTCTCCAATATCTTTCATATTAAACTTCTTGGAAAACCATACCTTCTCGTCTGACACTTTTTCACACTGTCGTCAATGAGAAGAATTTCATCTACGTATAACACAAGAAACACAACCACGTTTTTGTCACTTTTCTTTTTCACGCATTGCGCATCAAAACATTGGGTATATCCAAATGATTGAAAAACCTTATCAAAACGGATGTTCGAAGACCGTGAAGCTTGCTTTAGTCCATAAATAGATCGTCTAGGCTTACAGACCAGATGCTCTTGGCCTTTTGTAATGAAACCCTCTGGTTGCTGCATATAGATATCATTGTCCAAATTTTCATTAAGGAAATCGGTTTTGACATCCATCTGCCAGACTTCATAATACATATGAGCGGCTACAACCAAGAGAATCCTGATGGATTTGAGCATGGCTACCGGCGAAAAGGTTTCCTCATAATCGATACCATCGTTATGAGTGTACCCCTTCGCATCAAGCCTAGCCTTGAAGGTTTCAACCCTCCCATCTAAACCTCTCTTTTTCTTATAGACCCACTTGCATGCAATGACGCGAACGCCATTGGGTGGCTCTACAAGATCCCAGACCTGATTGGAGTCCATTTACTGCATTTCAGTCTTCATTGCACTTTGCCAAAACTCTGCTTCCCGATCTTGGAGTGTCTCATTATAGGTCCATGGGTTGATATTAAGTCCATCTGGGACGGTCTCAGAAGATTCTCCCAGAAACATGAATCGATTGGGCTTTCTCACAACCTTCCCAGTACGATGAGTTACGACAGGTGTATATGGGCCTAACTATGGGCCAAGCCCACTCTACTCATATACAAATAATACAGTCATTCCACTAAAGTAGTATTATTGAAACTCCCAATTTAATTCCAAAAATACGATTTGAGCTCTAATTCTAAATTACTCGAATTACCTCTCCATGTTTAAGATATAATGTCCATCAATCGATTCGATTACTGACAATCAAATCAATTGATCTCTTCTGCCAAAGCTAGCACCACTCAATTCATTAGTATTATGTCAGAACAAGTTCCACTGGCAATGTTTAATATATAATACTTCATGAGCTCACTTCAGGGATATCATCAAACCTCAACCATCAGAAGTACATGGTGACTGTAAATATTTTAACAGCGCACCATGTCATGCAGCAATTACTACCAAACTCAACCAGTTATTGATTCAGACTAAATGAATCTCACCGTGACGAATCAAAACAATAAATACTACATACATGTTCATATTTATATCTTACGGGTTAAGAATACACAGTAAATAGCCGAGGCATAGTTTGTTTATGCCGATCAGCATAAAACAGATTGCTCCTCCCCAAAATCCTTCAGTACACGATTTGTACTAGTGAAACTAATTAGTCAAGACCGACTGTACCGTGCACACTACAACCATTTCGATGGCTTGTTCTGTTTCCATCTATATTGTGAACCATTTCCTTTATGTTTTGCAAGTCACTAACAAATAATCTTTTGTCCATCCATGATAAATCATTTATCTAAGTGCAAAACAACAAAACATAGAACTTGTTTAATTAAACACAAATTCTCATTCAAATGAGAATAGTGTAAATATCATCTAGGACCAAGATTTCAGTATGTACACCAACAATCTGTTCCAAGCGCTCGCGACGTCAACACCGCGTCCAACTCCTTCGCTAAATTTTTATGGGAATTTTTGCTACCATGATCTTCAATTTTTCTTATGAAAATTTGTGAGAAAAATTGATTAGCCTCTAATAGCTAGTAAATGACCAGAATATTTTCCACAGGCGATGCCAATTTGATGAGAAATGAGTCAGGAACCGGGTTCAACACGCGACTTTATGCACACCCACTGGCTTGATGCTTTGGTGACCTGCAAAGCGATGGAGGGATCCCGACGTGAACACTCTGACGCTCAAGTTTGGATCTGCATGAGGAAGTATGAGAAACTGTAAAGTATGCGTGTATGTAATGTAATGTCCTGATAAAGTAAGTTGGTTACCCTTAAATACTCAAGTATTCTTGCCACCAAGAGAATCCTGGTAAGGAAAGAGATCTTCTTGAATCTACTTTTCTAACCTACCACGCCTCTAAGATCTTTAGGACTTTCAGGTAAGACGAACCTATCCATGAAAGATTCTCTCCCCATTCATGGCACGACTCTTTGGTTACTGGGTCGTAACCACGACCTCTGCACCTTCCTGCCGTAAGCGGTACCCAAGTCGTAACTAGGACCTCCACCCCTTGACGTAAAGGTCTTGAGGTCACATCATATACTTAAGATCCTTATATTTTTCGACCTGTGATCAACATGATCCGGCTCTAAATGTATCCCCAAGTATAATTCTTCAAATTATCATAGCTAACACTCATTTTGTGCAGCTAATTTTCCCATCTCACGGGCACACATCTATATTGGAGCTATACAAGCATATTCATCCCAATGTTTTTTTAGTTTGCATGTTGAAATATTCCATGACCGA